GGTGGTTGCTTTTGTAATTGCTCAACTGGTAAGCAAAAAGCAATTTAATTCTGCTGTACCCTTTTTCTTGCATAAAGTTTGTTGATGGATTTGTTGTGGTTGTGCAGATTGCCACTTTGATTGCAGTATATGCCAACTGGAGCTTTGCTGCAATTGAAGGAATAGGTTGGGGTTGGGCTGGTGTTATATGGTTATATAACATAATATTCTACATTCCACTTGATATCATTAAATTTTTAATTCGCTATGCTCTCAGCGGTAGGGCATGGGATCTTGTCATTGAACAAAGGGTGAGTAGAGCTTGTTTTCTTGAGTTGATTAATCCAAGGCTGGTTTTAGTTCTTGCTATATGCTTATGGATTTCATTGTCTTGTAGATTGCATTCACAAGGCAAAAGGACTTTGGGAAGGAACAACGTGAACTTCAATGGGCACATGCGCAAAGAACACTGCATGGATTACAACCACCTGACAGCAAGTTCACCGAGCGCACACATGTCAATGAACTCAATCAAATGGCCGAAGAAGCTAAAAGGAGAGCTGAAATTGCAAGGTAATTGCTTGTATTTCAAGGGGGTATACCATATGCAATGCAAGCATACAAGTGCAGAATAATATTTAAAAATATTTGCAAAAGTTAAGAGTTTTAGATGCTCCATGCAAAATGAATAAGTATGAGACAAAAATTACTAAAACAACAACTACTACCACTGCTAATTCTCTCCTAAGAAATGAGATAAAAATTTAACATCTCTGTGAAATGCATAAGTTAAAGTCTTATTTGGATAATTTCTTTTCTGCATAACGTAAAAAAGACTTTTATCCAAATTCGGTCTAATTTGATTTCTATAAACCGCAGTTATTTATTACCTAGTAATTGTATGCAGGTTGAGAGAACTCCATACACTAAAAGGTCATGTAGAATCAGTTGTGAGATTGAAGGGACTTGACATAGACACAATTCAGCAAGCATACACAGTCTGAATATGCTTATCATATATTTGCATACTTATACTGTAAAGAGTTACATTCTAATGTTGCTGAGAAGAATATAATGTAATGATTAAACACACGTTTAACTTTAATATCCTTTTTACTCTGCCGTCTGTTTCGAGCCCTTAAAGGAGTGCTTTTGTGAGGTCAATTTATGTCATCCTGTTTCTTGTTAGTTATCACTCTACCTCCCACTTTTTCTCCACAATTTCATGATGCCAGGAACGGTGAGAAGTTCACGCTTGTATTCTATGCTTCTGAACTCAGTTTCTATCCATATACCTCCTCAATTTCTCATCTTTGGAAATTAAATTAAGTTGGAAGTGAAGAATTGTCCATAGTCTGCGTTTGGTTTATTTGTAAGCATAAGTGTCAGGGATATAAACACCTTGTTAAAAAGAGTGAGTTTGGATATTTTGAGGTGAGGAGAGTATTTTAACATGAAGTGCATTATTTTAACTTTTGATGAAAGTAGAGGTGTCGTATGAGTTGAGTTAATTTGGAGACTAGTTGGTTGGGTTGGTAAAAAAGTGGTTCGCCTTCTTAGTTCAAATGAGTTGGTTTACTTTACTTTGGGTCAAAGTGAGTACGAGCTGAGTTTGTTCACTTAACCCTTTTTCTTGTTATTTTTAGTTCACTTAACTAAAGTAAGTTTTCTAAGATTGAATATTCTAAATGATTTATTATATTTAAATTTGCTAATAGGGTGGCTTGAGTTGGACTATAATTTTTTTGGCTTATAAAAAGGTGATTTAAAATGGGTTAATTTCCACTACTCGATTGACTCTAGTGGAACAGTGAATACATTGCCAAATTTGGACTCATTAATACAAAAACTAGAAACTGGGTTCCCTCTGTCACGGTTTCTATAATTAGAATACGTTGTACCAGAAGAGACTAGGATAAGAGATCATCTATTTGTGGTTCAAATTATAACTAGCAAACATCTAATTTTTGTAGCCCCCAATTCATGATGGAAAGAAAAGAACGTGCTTGGGAGGAAAGAGTATCCATATCCATATCCTAGAAGCCAAAAGGACAACGTAAATGGCAGAAAGCATGAGTGTGCAACGATGGTTTGTTTTACAACTATGCATTTGTCGTTACAAGCTCCTTTGAGATTCTTCACTCTGTGGGGCCATGCGCCATTCTAACTAGGAGGTTGTAGCCACCCTTTGTCACAGAGAAAGTGTCAAAAACTTTTCCAATTCAAACTTTTCGGACCAATCAACTCTGGACTCAGATTTTTGGAGATGATAAAACCCTAAGACTGAATCTTTTACTTCATTACTTTCTTATGAGGTTATTAATTTTGCACCTTTCTCTTTTTGTAATTATAGTTAATTGTTTCATAGAGTCTACCATCATCTGCTTTTAACTAATTTTGCAATACCAGAAGAGAAAAATCTCAACATGTATAATTTATGTCATAATGTGCATCCTCTTATTCATTTAGTATACTGCAAATTGCAATTATATAAATGTTAGTATTAATAGTTTACATTTATATGGAACTGAATAAACTAAGAGTGAGAACATTTAATAGATCGTGTAAAAATTTTAAGTGATGATAAAAATGCTGCTATGTAGTGTGACCATGAAACAAAAACAGCCTTAAGATTTTGGATAGTTTTTCCTTCTCATAAAGAAAGGTGCATATTCTATTTTTTAGATGGAAGAAGTGAAAAAACTGTAAAGATGTAACAAAAGAAAAAAAAAGAAAGATGCAAGAAGAAGAAAATGTCGGAAAAAGAAATATGCAATAATAATCAGTATCCCCTTCTAGATGCTGATAAAGATAGTGGTGTGATAGCTATAAATCAATTATTTGGGTTGATAAGTTGAATTATTAGTTTTAAAAATATAATTATATTAAGTAGTTAAAGAAACACCAAGACTAGTTATTTTTAGTGTGTGAATGTAGTTTAATTGGTGAGGGTTTGGTGGAAAATTAGTTTGACCCACTGACCCATATTACCAACAATGATTAGGGCCAGCACAGAAATGAAGAGTTAAATATTTTTATTGTGCATTTCTCAGATACAATGGTGTTTGATAAGACCTAAGAGTTGACTTTATAAGCACAATATTTGTAGCACATTGAAGTTGGATAGTGTGAATGTGTTTCAGTGTCCACCAGGATGCATTATGAGATGCAATAAAAGCCTATGAAAACAAGACAATGTTTGAAGAACAAGACGCTCTCGTCACCCACTCCCTCAGCAATCAATGATATGAGTTTCAATTTCAACACATATATATTTTAAGCTTAAATTCAACTCAGTTTACATATGTATGAACTATATCACTTTAAACTATGTTAATTTTTTTTATTATAATGTAATAATTTCTTTTAATGTAGGGAATTATACTAATAAATCTAAAAATTATTTTTAATAAAATTTGTATATTTGCATTTAGTAACTATAGATTGTTTCCTTTCAGAAAAATTTCTTCCATCCAAACGTTTATTAAGTGAAGTCAACGAGTCAATTTAGGTTTCTCTTTCTTCCAGAAATCTTTTGACCTTTACGCGTTCCTTTGAGTCTGTTTATCTTTCATCATTCGGTTGAAGACACTGCCAAATTAAATTTTCCCTTTTTCAATTGCAAGCTGGATTTAGTGCATTTTTTTTTGGTTTCTTCAAATTTCTGCTACTGGGTGCACCAAAAACACTCTTCACATATATGAAAGTAATCAAATTTAAAACGAAAGTTTTTGAAACTATAATATATCCATTAGTATTGAAGTGATGCTAAGTAGTTTAACTTAGAAATTTATCTGGCATCTAAAAAATATATATATTTTGAATTTTATATATTCTAAGAAAATATGTCAATTATATTGTTGTCTTGTAGAAAGATAATTCAACGGTTGGCATAAAGCCGTACCTACTTTTTTCTTTTTGAAGCTATCATGAAGACTCAACTTTATGTGGGTTATTTATTATGAGGTTGAACCATTCCTACTTTATTATTTAAAACTAGCAACTGTGACACTTGAATTATTTAAATAAAGACAGAAGTAAATTGCTTCTAAATAAAACTTTTTAAAACTAAATTAAATTATAGTTTATCCGAATGAAAAAAATATGTATATATATATATATATATTAACATAAGATATTCATTAATATAGTTTAAACAATTTAAAATATGATTTCCCTTTTTCACGTATTTAATAAACACTTTTTCACTTTTTATTCTTATTTTTCTCGTCTAAACATAATATATTTTTCACATTATTTTTCTTTTTATTTTTTTCCTTTCCATTTAAATTTTTTACTATAACTCAAAGTCTATGCTTTAATTAGCAATAAATTACGGTTTTATTTATAAATGTATTATAATTAAGGTACAACAAAACCACTAATTTATAATTGAAAAAGAAATTAAGTCCTGCACAATTTATTAACGTGACAAACAATTTATACACATGACAACATTCCATTGATTTGATATATTAATTGTCCAGATAATATTTGATGTAAAGATAGTTTTTAATATATATATATATATATATATATATATATATATATATATATATATATATATATAATTTATCTTGTCATATTTAGCTATATTAAAGTCCACGATGCCTAATTAATTTCCACATAGTTGAATGAGATATTCTTTCGATTACAAAAAACATGAAATTTAGTAATCTAAAAAAGTTATTGAAGATCGATGACACGTTAAATTGGAGTTCTCGTTGGAAAAAAATTCCATGCAAAGTTCCATCGTATCCAGGGTCAGAATTAATTACGAAGGAAAATATTCATGCAAACAAAAAAAATATTGTGTACGTTAATCATAATAAAAAGAGTAAGTAATATATAATACTTAAAGAAGAAGCATGCATACGAATCCCTGTTCAGTTACTTCTCGTTCCATGCATAAGAGTCCTACATCAAAAGTTTCCAAATACATTACTTGTCTAAAAGGACCACCACTTTATATTCTACATATTACTACTAATATCATTATGATTTCATACAATAGTTAGTGGTTAAACACCAATGGTGGATTTTTCATATTTTTTTAGTTCAAGGTTACTGCTATCGTTTTCCTTATACTTGAACCATTTTGAACACAATAAAAAGTATCCCAAATTCATGATTTCTAGAGCAGCAATCGTGTAATAAAACAAATCCAATCTCCCCTTGTTAAGATCTTCTGGTAACCAATTCCCCGATGCAGATTTGGCGCTGGTATTGTGAACAATTGTAATCAGAAGAGTGCTCAAATAACTGGACCCTGCCATGCCACAGTAGAAAAGTGACCCTGCGATGCTTCTCATGTTCTCAGGGAATTGTTTGTAGTATAATTCAACTTGTCCAACCGCAGTAAATGACTCAGATAGACCGGCAAGTGCTAACTGAGGAATTAACAACAGGCCTGACATCGATGAAATAGCACCTTTTCTTGGTTGCACTCCTATAGGGTTGGTCAGAGCCAAACTTCTTCTATGCTCTTCAACAACTCCAGCTACTATCATGCATAGTGCAGAGAAAAAAATGCCAATTCCCATCCTCTGAAGGAGTGTGATGCCACCCTCTTTTCCAGTGAGTCTACGGAGAAAAGGGACCACAATTCTATCATAGATTGGTAGCCACAAGGTCATGCTCAACATCAAGAACACATTGTAGGATGCACCGGGGATTTTAAAGTTATTGTGTCCAAGACGCCTATCGGATTGAAGGGCTTGAAACACAAGAAAGGTGTGATTTTGGACTATAACTATGTGGTACAGAAGGGCTGAAAACCATACAGGTAATACTCTCACCACACATTTTGCCTCCTCCACTTGCTGTATGCTGCAAAGATTCCATGGATCTGCCGCAGATCCATCTGGGTTTATTTTATCTTGTGAGGTCACAATGGCTGCTTTATCCAGAAACCTATTCATGTAACACTCATTTCAGTTAGAAACTAAAAACTTGTTTAATACACACACACACATACATACATATATATATATATATATACACACACACACACGTCATAAATGCAAAAATCCAAAACCACTACATTGGAAAATTGTGGGCAAAATCTTGGCGTTCTGGCAGCAAAACCATGGTTGATGCAGAAAACTTTATAGCAATTTATGAAAAAAATAAAACATGTTCTCCACAGAAATAATCCTAACTACTTTTTGAGAAACCAATTATCCACTGAGAAACTGCTGAAGTAAAATATCAAAAGCTTGATATAGTTACCTGAACTGAAACGTGTAAGAGAGCCTAGAGTTAATGCCCTTGGGAGACACATAGTTGAAGAGGGAAATAGTTGGATGTTCTGCAGGTAGTTTTAAACTCCTTTTCTTGATTGCAACAACTAAAACTTGCACAATACTAGTGATGGGACTGCCACTTGGTTTAATCTTGACATAAATTTTGGCCCCCATGAAATACACTATACAAGATATGAACATCAAGGCAGCAGGAATTCCCAACCCTATTGCCCAGCTCACATTTGACTGGACATACACAATTAGTGTTAAAGAGACCATCTGGGCAAAAGTGAAGGTAAAAAAATACCAATTGAAAAAGCTGTTGATCCCTTTCTTCCCTGAATCTGTTTTGGGATCGAACTGATCAGCTCCAAATGCCAAGTTACATGGTCTGACCCCAGCAGCACCCACCAGCAGTAAACTAAATCCAGCCAATAGAAAAGTCATTTGCCCTGTAGTAGGTCCTCTGCAGGTTTTGCTCTCCTTTCCACAATGAGGTGGATGCAGATTCTTAAATACTGCTGTAAGTTGTATCACCAGCAACCCCTGTTTAGATGCAGGTGAAAAAATTACAAAAGACTCAACTATGTATCACTTGGCTTAAGGCTGAAGCTGAATAATGTCTATTAAATTACTTTTATACAAGTAATTGACATGGATGTGTAAGTTATCTGGAACTGTGTCTTTGTTAGATAATATTAGACATTTGGTGACGAAATCTAATGAAATTGTGTAAGGAATGGTGTCATGGCATTGCATGAGCCGTAAACTTGTACCAGAAATGAAGTGAATGTGCAGAATCCTATTGTCTTGTAGCGACCAAAGTAGGTGTCTGATAAGAAGGCACCTATTATGGTAGCAAAGTTGGTGCTGCCACTGAAGATGTTGATTATATTTGTGGCTGTGATGTTCTTCAAGTTGAATACAGTAGTGAGATAGACCAAGAGGTTAGCTAAGGTGCCAATGGCTCCCAGTTTCTCAAAGGTTTCATTTCCTGCCAATTAGACAGACAAGTCATTCAAAAGGTAAGCCTAAAAAGTAAAACACAACACACACACACACACACACACACACAGAGCAGTACAAGATTCTCATTCCTTACCTATGATAAAGGGCATGGCCTTCCATCCTCTGTAGTTAATCTTAGGATCGCTGTCTGTCACATGTTTCTCATTGTTCTCCATACTTTCTTTATCCATTGTCTCCATAGTTGTTCTCCCTGCCTCTTCAGCTTCCATTTGTTCAGGATTTTGCATATGACCTCTGTTGCTCCTTCACAGTAGGGAGAAAGAAATATCTGACTTTGGTGTTGGGTGAAAGAAAGTTGAACTAATGGGAAGGAAAGTAGCAAAGTTAATATATAAATGAATCACCAAGACTTCACTCTTTCTTTCTTTTTTTCTTTTTGAAGTTATGGTTGAAGAGTGAGATTCCACTTCAAACCTGTCTTAAATATATAATCTGCATGAGTGGGGTCATATTCAATAATTTAATATCTTTGAAATAAGCAAGAAAATTAAGGATATTTTGTGAAATGTCTATTTATTTTTTATTTGTCTAAGGTATAATCAAGGAAATTTATTTTAATAAATACAAGAGTCAAATTCATAGGTGAGTTTTTTTAGACTGATAATTCATTATTAGCTTATATGAATATCTATTTAATGACAATAAATATTTTATTAATGATAATCAATCTAATAAAGTAATTATGATAAAAGTTACTAAACTTTTTATATGAAATAATATATAACTACCTTAAACATATTTTAGTTTTCCTTAAATGAATTTTGATTTTTTATTTTTTATTTTTTTTCATTCCTGAAAAATTTGAAATTACTTTTTTTATTTTTTATAAAATGTGTCAATTTTTAAGATTTTGAGTTATTTCAGATGACACATAAACATGTTATTAACACTTGCATAATTCTTCTAACGACCCCTCTTTCCTTTTCTTTTTGTCAACGCATTACTAGTTAATTGGTATTATATAATATTATGAAGAAAAATTGTTAATTTTTTAATTTTAGAGAAATAAAAAATAAAGAAATTTATGCCCGAAAACAAAACCCACTTATTTTTCAGATACTAAAAATATATTCAAATGTATATAATTTTATAATAATGTATTATTGACCAAATTTTAATTTTATAAAAAAAATAAAAAAAATATTTGATAAATAAAAATAATCAACAAAGATAATATTAACTTTCATATTTTTTAATTAATTAATTATAAATGAGAAATCTTATCCATGTTATTTTGAGTATTTTTTTTTAATTTAAGTTCATTTTAACATAATGTATAAATATGTAATGTTGTTTAGATAAATTTTTTGATAAATATTTTTAAGAAAGAAAATTATGAAAACATAAAATAAAATTATTTATAAGTTAACATTAACTTATGAATAATTTAAAAATAAAATTTTTAAAGAAATATATAAAATAATTTTTAAAAATATTAAAAAAAAGTATGTCCAAACAAAACTCAACCTACATACACTACTTATAAAAGAAAGTTTAATATTCCAGAATATTTCTTTTCATCGTGTGAATAAAAGTAGATAATTGGAAATAATTATAATTACCAAATGATAAAATAAAAATGAAAGATTTATAGAAGATAGTCAGATTAGTACTAAATAATATTAAAAGTAAGTTCTATGTATTCACCTAATCCAATTTAAAAAAAATAAAAATAAAATAAAATCATTTTCTCTTTTCTGTCAATGGCATGGGTAAATTTTTTACATTCTTAATTATTTAATTTGTTAATATAAATTAAAAATAATCATTATCAAAGACAACAAATTATTATAATAAATATTTTGTAACTAACTGCTAATGTAATGTTTTTTATTCTTAAAACAATAAGATTCAATTCATTTTGATTTATGTGCCACGTCCTTTTTTTATCAATCCAAAGCATTTATATTTTTTTTTATTTTTAAAATGTAACATATACTTTCCTTTAATCTTTATTATAAGGTATAATTTTGAAAATAAAAATAAACTTTGATATAAAATATTTTATAATTAAAATAAATATACATTTTTTTATAATAATTAATTTGATTATATATATATATATATATATATATATATATATATATATATATATATATATATATATATATATATATAATGTAGACAGGTTGAATTCATGTTGTTTAAGTTTTGACGGCATATATACTTTCCTTTAATCTTTATTATAAGGTATAATTTTGAAAATAAAAATTAAACTTTGATATAAAATATTTTATAATTAAAATAAATATACATTTTTTATAATAATTAATTTGATTATATATATATATATATATATATAATGTAGACAGGTTGAATTCATGTTGTTTAAGTTTTGACGGCATCTAATTGAGTATTCTAAATCTAGCAATTTTCGAACTTCTAATTGAGTATTTTAAATCTAGTAATTTTCGAACTTTGGATTGTTGTAGTTTCAAATTTTGATAGCTTTGTCTTGTCCTGATGGTCCATTTCAATTGAATTGAAGAAGGTGTTTTTTGTTATTTGGTGCTCATGTCTGTCAATCTGCATCAAAGCCAGAACTCTAATAATACATATTGTAATTTGAAACACATCACGCTCACACGCGGTGCTACATAACTTCTCGTTTTAGTCAACCCAACTAGATGATTCCAAACCCAAATAAATCTCAATCAACCCAACTATGTTGCAATTTCTGGTTTTGCAGACTACCACACAAGGTTTGATTTGAAACCCAAATAAATCTCAATCAATTTAGTCCATCCATATTTTATCAAGCACTTTACAGAAGCAGATCAACAAGACAAAGGCATGTAGTTCTGTTTTGGGTTTGTTTCAATACCAAAATAGATGCTCACACTCTCAGGATCTGAAAATATTGTTGGGTTTGAATTGGATAAATAATTGACCTTCACATAAAAATTCTGATTTGCACACTTAGAACACGTTACCTACATAAATGCATATAATTAAGCTTTACAAGGCACGTACAACCACTTCCTTTTTGTGATTGCTATTCTTAACCGTCTTTTACAGCTTCTTCAATTATTGGATCCACTCATTAAGGTTAACATGGAGCTAGGTTCTTATATGTGTCTTCACAGCACTGCATGAGATTGCATGAAGTCACCACTGCACTAGATTCAGTTTATATACATCTGTGTCTAAGTGTCTTCACTCTTCAGAGTTTTCTAGTCTAGCGTGAATTGTCTCTAAGGAAAAGGTTAGCATATAAATTAAATATAGCCACCAACCACGTGGTAGCAGTGTTGAGGGCATGGATACGAGTTGAACACACAGTTTCAGATGCACAAAAGGTTTCTCACAAGTTGGTGATACATTAAAGGATCAAAATTCTACACCAGGTAAAATTTTGATCCAGGAGGGTATTATTATGATAAGGATACTAGTTAATGATTATAAAAACGAAAGAAGCTGGGTTAAGGAGTTCTATTAAATGTATATATTAAGTTCAAAAGTATATATCAAGTCACTTTTGTATTTATCATAATGTAATAATTATTTTCTTTTCTGTAATTTGATTTCTTTGACTAATAATGTGGATAATCGTTACCGTACAACACATCCAAATTGTCTCTCTTTTCTAAAGTATAAATCTAAATTCTAATCATACGCCATAAGATTCGAGGAAGTTAATTTTGTTCTCACACGTAGGTTTGTTTGTAGCTTCAATGTTCACCAGATAGAAGTCATTCATTGTTCTATATCATCAAAGTGACAGAAATATATAAAAAATCATAGAGTACAACTTTTGTATCAATCTCTCTAAATGGATATGCAGTTCAAGTGCAGGTATTTCAAATTTTGAAGTCGGTCGTAAGTGTACTAATATTAACAAGAGGAAATTGAATCATACAGTGTAGAATACAATGAGTTGATTGACTGGACGATCGTCCTTCTTGCTAATTACTTCATAATAACGTGAGAGTACAGAAAGCAAAGTAAAATTAAAATTTTACAAAACAATAACAATTCCTACAATAATGTTCTTATTTTTCTTTCTGACGTGATCTTTTCATGTAACATGATCTGAAAGATCACCAACTGTGACCCACTTCAAGTGGTTACAAGCATTATCTTCTTCATCCATAGGAAATAAAGTGAGGAAATTATGGTAGTCATGTCAGTGTATAATTTTTCTTTCACTGTCATTTGGTGTTTTAAGACAAACCTAAGGATGTAGGCACCTATCCTAAGAATAATGCATCCCATCTGTCTTGATGCATCTACACACGAAGAATCTATCTAATGGAAAAAACAGTGTAATTTTGTTACTATACTCAGTTTTTGATTTTAAACTTTGCCAGTTCTGGCTCCATCCGATGAAAAATTGCAGTAGCCTATTTCTAAGCAGTAACTATAGACTCGAATCATCAAGACCATTAGCACCTTTTTCCGATTGTTTTGTCACTTTTTCGAGTTCAATAGAACTGCTGCTCGTGCCTTTGTACCTAAACCACCTTGCACAGAACACAAAGTAACCTAAATTAATAATTTCTAGAGCAGCAATGAGGCAATAGAACTTATCCAATCTTCCCTTGTTAAGATCCTCCGGTAACCAGTTCCCAGTTTCAGATTTGGCAGTGACTTGGTGAATAACTGAAATAAGCAGACTACTCAAATAACTTGACCCTGCATGTCCACAGTAGTAAAGAGAACCTGCAATGCTTCTCATGTTCTCAGGAAATTGTTTGTAGTAAAACTCAACTTGTGCCACAGTCATAAATGCTTCTGCCAATCCTGCTAATATCAGCTGAGGAATCAGCCACAGACCTGACATTGATGAGATTGCACCTTTTCTTGTTACTACTCCCAGAGGATTAATCAAAGCCAGGGTCCTGCGGCGCTGTTCAACCCTAGCAGATACTAGCATGCTAAGTATAGAGAAAAATATTCCAATACCCATTCTCTGAAGGAATGTGATGCCACCCTCTTTTCCAGTGAGCCTTTGGAGTAAAGGCACAACTTTTCGGTCGTAGATGGGTAACCAAATTGCCACAGTAATCATCAGAAAGACGTAGTAGGAAGCTCCTGGGATCAAGAACTCACTTTGCCCAATACGCCTGTCAGATAAAAGGGCTTGGAACACTAAAATGGTGTGCTGTTGAACAATTACAATAAAGTACAAAATGCCTGAAACCCATATGGGTAACACTCTCAACAGGCATTTAACCTCTTCCACTTGCTGCATACTGCAAAGATTCCAGGGATCAGTAGCAGATCCATTGGGGTTTATTTGATCTTGGGGAGTCATGATTGCTGCTTTGTCAAGGAACCTGTTAACATAAGCCATCTGGTAAATACTTTCTAATAATCTATCATAACTACCACCAAATGCTAACTGCTTGATGTTGTTTACCTGAATTGATATGTATAGGGAAGTTTAGAATTCATTGACTTGGGAGTCACATAGTTGAAGAGGGAAGGATATAGATATTCCGGGAGCTTCAGCCTCCTTTTCTTTGTTGCAACCACTATAACTTGCACTATACTAGTTATAGGGCTACCACTTGGTTTAACTTTCACATACATTTTGGACCCCATGAAGAAGATTATAGAAGATACAAACATCAAAGATGCAGGAATTCCCAGACCCACTGCCCAACTTACATTTGACTGTATATAGACAATAATTGTTAAGGAGATCATCTGAGCAACAGTGAAAGTGAAAAAGTACCAATTGAAGAAGCTATTGATCCCCTTCTTCCCAGACTCCGTGTTAGGATTAAACTGATCAGCACCAAATGCTAAGTTACATGGTCGAATCCCTGCAGCTCCTACCATCAATAATCCTAAACTAGTCTTTAGAAATGTCATTTGCCCCTCTGTTGGCCCTTGGCATGTGGTGGAATCTTCACAGTGAGGTGGATGCAACTTCTCAACTGCCGCTGTCAGTTGGATTGCAAACAAACCCTGTATCAAGCAGAGAAACCAAGGAATCAGATACAAAAATTAAACAAGCCAATCAGATCAATCAAGCACCTTTCTTTCTAAGCATTTTAAAATGGAATTACTTCTATTTGAGATGATCTTAAATCATCTCTTATACTTTTCAATGTCGTTGGTTTTTTTGTGTTTATCCGTAAACAAAAGGCACTAAGCAAGAGCAATTTACCACAAAGGAAGCCACTGTGCAGAATGCCAATATCTTGTAGCGACCAAAAAAGGCATCAGATAGAAAAGCTCCTATTAATGTAGCAAAGTTGGTGCTGCCATTGAAGATGTTGATAATATTTGTAGCCGTGATGTTTTCCAAGTTGAATACTGTAGTTAGATAGACTAATAGATTGGATAAAGTACCAATGGCTCCTAGCTTCTCAAAAATCTCATTTCCTGCCAATTACACAAAAGAATCAGTCAAGGTCTAAGGACAAAAGCCAGCAAGGGAAAACAAAGCATAAAAAATCTCAAAACCCTTCTCACCTATAATAAAGGGCATGACCTTCCACCCTCTGTAGTTAATCTTAGGGTCATCACCTGTTTCACTATTATCGTTCTTCAATAAACTTTCCTGGTCATCATCAAAAGTCTCTCTCTTTGTCATTCTTTCTCCAATTGTGTTCAGGATTATAAGCTTTAAGCGCTACCTTGAGGAACGAAAAGGAGGGCAAGAAGGACCAATGAGAGAGATCATGAGAGAGGAACTTCAAAACCACACCAAGTACTATCATTACACCTACCCACCAACAAATTTACTCAAGCGGATTTACAGATCTAGTCTTCACTCCATGGGTAAATTTTGTCCTAAATTTTATTTTTATTTACCATTTCCCCTTATTCCTTTTCATTCTGATTGGATGTTTAGATTACCCATTTTTTCGTGGTTTGGTTGAAACAAGTAGATATGCTTGGTGATCAACAAGTCTTTACAAAAATAAATAAATAAATAAATAACATTTTGCTCTACCCAAAAGTAAACAAAAACCTAAGCAAGAAGACTACAGTACAAAATATCTGAAGTTTTGGTTGAAGGTTAAAGTTTGCCCACTGGGCATACATTGTACAAAACGCTACCAAATTCATCCTAAATGCTACCTCCATAATTCTATCCTAATTTTAAGTCTGAGGAAAAATTTCCATAAAGCACAAAACTTATTCCAATCTAATCAAACCCAGAAAAAAAAAATCTAAATTAAATATGACAAGAAGTCAACTCAGTACATCCTAAGATAATCTCTCGAAATAAAAGCATAAGCAAATGAATACCCAGGAACGGAGCAACATAAAAATTAGAGAGGAACCAAAACCCAAAAAGGGATGATAGCAGTACCTGAAAAGAGAGGAGTTAATTGGTGGCCTGCCGGAGAAAACCCTGGACGGAGGGTTCAAACCCCACTCACAGACTTTTTGTCAGAGAGATTACAGGGTGCATAATGAATGCTCTTCCAATGTCTGAGTTGTAGTTTAAACATGTTTTCATTTTTCTGAAATATAGGATTAATTTGTTTCTTTTAAATTGACCCGAAATATGTTTTCAATCAATGTAAGATTAGTGAGATATTATTATACTTTCTATAAAAAAAATCTGATATTTTAAAAAGGTTGACATTTTACTTTTGTTAATGACCCTCGGTATCAAAATAATTGAAGGAAAGATTATTTATTCTTTACTCAAAGGAAAGACAAACTCCACCTTACAAAAATTATAACTATTTTTTTAGATGGTGTTAAAGATATAATTATTAACATGATTTGTATAATCTATTTTTTATATTTTGTGTTTTAAATACAATATTAAAATAATATACTCTTTATAGATGAATTAAAAAGTCACATCTATTGATCCACACATTTATAAAAATTCTACCATCCAATTACACACTCAAAAGGGATTAAACTAGATAACCATAACAATCCACTTTTATTTTTTATTAAAAAAACTAACGACATTCTGGATCTAATTCATAGGTATTCTGTCTAATTAAATAAAATGGACAAATTACAAAAATGTTATTATTATTATTATTATTATTATTTCATTTTGATAAATTTAATATAAATTATTATGATTGTATAAAATTATAATATAATAATTGGACCAGTCTAATTTATATTATATATATATATATATATATATATATATATATATATATAACTCCACTTTTTATCAATTTTTTGTTGTGCAAAAACTACATTATTTACATTTTATTTATTGAATATTAAATGATCAGTTATTAGTATTTATCAGTTTTTGTACTGTTACAGTGGAATTTTACTTATTGAATGTTAAAGGGTGCGTTGTGAATGTTAATTGAATGTTTTCCCTCACAAATAACATGACATTGGTAATTACCTTTCCAAAAAATCACATTAACTGCATTTACTTAATATATCGACGGGTCAACTTTCAAGTATTAAAAAAAAAAAAAAGTTTAATACCATGTTTATGGGTTCCCATGATACCCGTTGGTAGTCACTCTCATGAACTATAGGTTCCAACAGAAAAATAGAAGAAAATTCTCATTAAGCAATAGATTGATGAAAAATTAACAATATTCTTATTCTCTAATGTTAATATTTGCTTTTTTTTTTAATTTAAAATATGCATGTATCTAGTGAGTCTCATTTTGATATCTTTCATTTATCTTAATTATACCTTTCTTTATCATGTTTTCTATTTCAATTTTTATTCATTTTTGTTATAAAAAAATAATTTAAGCATCCATGGTAATTTTTTTATTACATCAATGTCTCTATTTAGTTTTGCTAGTTGGGAATGGTGTTAGTGACTTATTGTGATTTTTCATCAAGAATAGTAATAACTCATGTTATAATATTTTTTTTATATATATAAGATTACAATGTGTTTGGATGAATTTGAAATGATATAGAATGGGTTGTGAGATTATTTAGATGGAGGAGAAAAAATAAATTTAAAGAGATTTGAGTTTATTTATTATAGCTGATATGATTGATAAAAATAAATATAAAAAAATTAAATAATAATTTTTTAGTATAATGACTAAAATATTTTTATTATTGTAATAAATAAATTAAATAGAAATTATAATTATGATATAATTAAATATAAGAATGTTAATTAATTTATATGGTACATAATATTTAAATATATTAATATTATTGTATATATAAAGTATAATTAAAATTATTTTATATATTAACTATCAAATATTTGTTTTGTTGGAGTTTAAATTATATATTTAAAAATGTTCATATTTTGAATGAATGTTGTATAACTTGTGGTATTTTTTTAATTTTTTATTTTATATTAAATATAATAATTAAATTATTAATCTTTATTAAATGGGTTAAAAATTATAATTTTTATTAAATATGTAAAATTTGATTTTATATAACGTATAATATTTAAATTTTATCAAATCTAACTTTTAATTTTTTACATTTAACTACAAATTTCTTAAATACAAGTTAAAAATATTTCAAATCTAACTTAGAATGTATCAAATTTAAGTTTTAATTTTGAATATCTTACCACAAATTTCTCAAATCAAACTTGTAAGCTTTGAAATTTAACTTTGAAAATTATTTAATCAAACCTATAATCTCCCAAATCTAACCTCAAATTTATGACATCTAACTTAAAAATTAACTGATGTAACAATCTCCTTCCTGCCTTGCATCATTGCATAAAAATTAACACATAATCGTTACTACATAATAGATTTTGCAGAGTCCATGTTCAACTATGCAGCACCTGATATTCAATTATGAGTCCAGCATAATCGATTATGTCATGCCTCAATTGATTATGAATAAAAAATATTCGATTATATATGGCTTGTTACATAATCGAATATGGTCCTCTAATTCTCTCCGAGTATTGCACTTAATCAATGTACATACAGGATATTCATGTTTATATTTATGGTCATGGAGTCCAATACAAATTAATGAGCAATCAATTATCAACCATTAACAAATACTTCAACAAATCCTAAGCTTGTTAAATATGTTGTGGGAGGTTTGGTTGTAGCTTTCCTCTGGAAGGACAACAACTACAACTTCAAATAGAGCTGGAAAAAGAACAAATGCAGTTGGAAGAACAACAACTATTATTGTTCTTGCTCGATCCTTCCTTCACTTGGATGAAAGAAATTGTTGAAACGGGCAATGGATGATGGGAATGGAGGAAGAAGGAAACCGCAACCTTCACTTGCGGAAACAAGTGTATTTATGGATGAAGAACTCTTTGCTCGTGAGATGATATTCAACTTCTAAATAGTGCAACACCATTGTGCATGAGATGATGTTCAACTTTTGAATAGTGCAACACTGTGTTCAATATACATGGTGTAGCACAATCAGACTGCAATGGGCAATTGGACCTTACACATGGTCTTATGGTCTTTGGTATATGTCACTATGTTGCAGAGTAGAGATTCTATACGGTGCAACCCTGCAAAATCTTCACATAAAAAAATGGTAAAATGACGACAATATCACTTTTCATAAAAGAGGTATAAGTTAAAATTTTCCTCTCTCATTCCCCTTAAATTTGCTCAAATCAGCATATATAAATAGTTGCACCCTCTCTCAAATCCCTTCCTTCTTTTCCTCGGCTTAATGTCTTATTCTTATTTAACCGTCCTCGTTTCCTCGACTATCTATATATACAAATAAGAGCTTAATGTCTTATTCTTATTTAAGTGGAAATAATTTATTTTCAATCTATATTTACATGCACAAGTTTCATGTTAGCGATTTGTCCAAAATTTTCAATAAATACATCTAAGTCTAAAATAAAATCTAGAACTTAGTCAAATCTTAATATCATTCTTTTCTCACTCACATTGATAATTATTCTAGTAAATATTGTTTGTATGGGTTATCTCAGACAACTTGGTTCTACAATTTCTTCGTAAAACGAAGAAACTAAATATATATATATATTTAACTTTAACGGAATGAACTAGAAAATAGGAAAGATAATTCTCACCTACTAACAAACTCCCACATATTAACAAATATAACATCTACATACTAACCGTTTGTGAACCACGTGCAAAATATTTAAACGACGTACAAAATTTAAACTGCAACAAACAAATAAAATTTTATTCTCTGTGAATAAATAAAACCTTATTGTCTGTAAACAACTAAAACTTTATTCTTTGTTAACAAACTCTCCCTTATATGCTTCTTGCAAGAGTTTATTTTTAGTTCTTCAAGCTGTCCAAAGTATTGTTTAATAAAAATTTCATCACAACTTTGCAAAACTTCAATGCCTAGAAAGTATCTCACCTTACCTAAATCAGTCATAGCAAACTCATTCATCATCATACTTTTAAACTCTAAAAACATTTATTCATGATTACTTACGTATATTAAATCATCTACATAAATACAGACAATTAAGAGTACATCTTTCTCCTTCCTTTTCACAAATAGAGTGTGTTCATGTGGACATTTTAAAAATTCATTAGCGGCAAGATAAGACTTCAACCTGTTGTACCAGGCTCTAGAGCCTATTTAAGACCATATAGGGCATTTGGCTTTTCTAAGTTTGTATACCTGATATTCACGTTCGTTAGACACTAGCCCCTTAGAGACATAGTCTTGTGCTTGTTCTAAGTATAGATCTTCATTCATTTCCCTAAGAAGGAAAACTTGATATCAAGCTGATAAATGTTCCACTTTTTGTGACTGCTAATGCAACAACAATTCTAATGGTTTCCAAATGAGCTACTGTTGTAAAAATCTCGCTATAATCGATCCCCTCTTCTTGAGGGTATCTTTTGCTACTAGTCTGGTTTTAAATTTGTCAATTTTCCTGTCTCTTTCAATTT